GTTGTAGTAGTAGTAGTAGTAGTAGTAGTTGTAGTAGTAGCAGTCGTCGTAGTCGTAGTCAGCACCTTCGGTCTCACGCGGCCGATGCAGCGCGACCAGATCAGGCCCAGGCCAGGCCCCTGGACGCCAGGCCCGTGGACGCAGTGACTGGGGCCGAAGGCCCACTGCGAAGGGCTGTGCTGGGCCGCGAGGCAAGGACGCAATGGTACCCCTGGAAAGCCACTCATCCTCACTCATGGTGCGGCTTGACTGTACTGGGCACGCGCGATGCCAAGGCGCAGGGCTTCTCGGGTTTCGGTGGAGCGTGGGATGCCCAGAACTCTGACGTGACCCTTTCTCACGCGGACCCAAAGACGTCTAGACACCTTCCCTGGTACAGGCTTCTCGTCCTGGGGTCGTCTTGGAACAATCCTGGGACTCGTAACAGGGGTTCGTGCCGTGTCGACCCGCGGGAATCGTTCAATCTTGATCGATCGGCCGTTTCCGAAACCTCAGATCTCGGCGGTGGAGAAACCTCCCTTTAGTAAACCTCCCCTTAGTGAAAACGGCCTGGGACCGAAACAGACGGACCTGGACCCGCACAAAGGACGGCCGCGACGCCCTCTCGCGAACCGAGAACGGCCAATTCCTCAATCGACGTGTCAGGGTAGGAGGTCTGTCCATCCCCGATCAATCTTGATCGATCGGCCGTTTCCGAAACCTCAGATCCTTCAACATCGACCGGCTCTGAATCGCCGGCGGCGCTCAACGTGGACCGCTAGCGGCGGGCTCGCCGCCGATCGACACGAGGTGAACCTACCCTACACGTCGCCCTGGACCCCAGGGGCCCTGGGCGACGACGACGACGACGACGACGACGACGACATAGACGACACAGACGACTCAGACGACGGCGAGGACGAGGACGAGGACGACGACGACGTCGCCCTGGGAGGCCCTTCCTGCACACCCTCCCCCTGCTGCGGCAGAGGCAGGGCCGGCCGGGCCTGCAGAGCGCGGGCCCAGGGCAGGGTCGGCCCGAGCGCGGGAGGGGGGTAGCCGAGCGGGCCTCTGAGGCACTTGGGGGCGTGCGGCGCATGCATGATACTCGGACGAGGCCAGGGCGAGGCCAAATTCGGGGAAAGATACGTCGAGAGTCGCTGAGATCCGGCGGCGCTGGAAAATGGATCGTGCGAGGCGGCCTTCCCGGAGCGTTCCGGAATGCTCTGAGAGCGTTGCGGAACGCTCTGGAACGGATTTATCCTAGTCCGAGTCCCTGCTGTCAGACAAACGGTTTTCTCCTTTGTCGAAGAGGGCGATGTAAGTGCAGTCAACGTACTGTCATGAGGAAGAGCTACATTAGGAACAGAACCACTGCATTCCCCGCGAAACGCCTCGGTGCATGAAGAATGTTAGAAGAACAACCGTGGAAAGACATAGGAAACAGCGGGCCAATTCCGAACCCGGACTGCTTCTTATTTCAGCGTCTTGACTTTACCAGCATTGACTTGAAGTGCGCAATACAAGACACCACAATTGAAATACCCTCACGGAGCCCAAACTCAGGAGCATTGCACGCCAGGGACGTACCAAGGAAGTGTCGAACTTCCACGCTGCGTATCATCCTGAGACTTGCATGCAGAAGCGAAGATCTCACAAAGGAACTGTTCCAATGGGTGCGAATGCGACTTCTTTGCGTGAGCACGGTTCAGAACCTTCACACGAGCTCGCGCTCTATCGTATCCATTAACCCCTGGTGCATCCCTCTGCTCTCATCATGCTCCAAGTGCAACTCGCGCCAGCTGGGGAAAGACCGACACCACTTGCAATGGGAAGAGAACCCCGACTGGAATCAACGTCTTCTCCCTTCCCCTCTCCTCCTCCGTCCTTCCCTCCACTTCAATATTCCCTCACCCATCCTCCTGCTCCCTCGTCCATCCTCCCTTATTCGCCTTCCCTCCTGTCCACTCCTCTTCACCCCTTGCGCAGAAACCCGACGTCGTGTTTTTTGTTCAAAACGTCGACTCCTAGATGTCTCGACCCCCCCCCTGGGAACCGTCTTTTTAACGACCCCGCGGCCCAATAATGGCCCCAGGAGACCTAAAAGAGCGAGAAACCTCCTGTAGAGATTTCTTCACAGAGCGAGGGGTCTGGGCAGATTGCCTCCCTCGAGAGACACCCGCACACTGAAGCACATCGGTCATGTAGCCGCTTGCGAGGCTGCAGACGGGGGAGAGAAGGGACACCCCAGCGAAAAGGAAGAAAGAGGACGGGGGCACGGGAAATGTTTCGCTATTTCCGGCCTCTGGGGACCCTTTTCTGGGCCTCGGGACCGTCATAAAGCGACTCTGGCTGAAAACAGGTCCCGCGGAAGGGGTCGAGACATCCGGAGGTCGACGTTGTGAAAAAAACGGGATCGGGGGTCTGGGGAGGGGGGTGCCCTTCGCAAGAGGCGCGACCGCAAAAGATCATCATATCTCTCGCGTCTCGATCCCGGGCGACAGAAAGACAGGCGCGTCTGTTTGTCACGCGCCTCGCATCTCGTCAGTCGATCGGGCGCTGGCCACGACTGTCGCGGGCATCAGTTAGGAGATCGAAAGAGAAGGAAAAACATATATATACACATGTCTATACAAAGAAAGAAAACAGAGATATAAGAAGAGGCAGAGACGGAGAAAGAGGGAACGGCAGGAACAAAAAAACGAAGAGAGACACAGAGAAAAAGGACGATGACAACGACACTCAAGCTACGACCACGAAGAACGATAAATGAGAAGCGAGGCCCCCTTTTGGCACTGGAAAAATGCCCCGTCGCGCCTGACTGCGGGAGGCGCCTTGTGTGCGGGGGCGTTTTTTTTGTTCCGGGAGGTGCCTCGTGGCCCCGAGCGTGCCTTCTCGTTTTGCGGGAGGCGTCTTTGATGACTGGCTTCCTGGCGCTCCTCTGCCTTTCTGTTGCGCCGTGCCAGGTCCGTCCGGGAAGCGGTTTCCCGTGATTCGTGGGCGACGGTGGGGCGAACAGCCCAGGGGGGAACAATACATGTATCCAGGGGCGCCGATGATCCATTTCTTCGGCGAGGCTCCTGGGCGAATACGTCTAATGCCCGCCCCTGGGCTATTCGTCCTTGTCGTCGCCACCGAGTGATGGGTGCAGCGCCTGAGAACTGCGCTGGGAGAATGTTCTTGAGCGAAGGCGCGGCCGCACCAGCATCAGCCTCACAAGTTACGGCGGGGGCCCGAACCACGTTATCAGCTTGGTCGATCGACGTGCGGCAGGCATGTAACGTCGTCCCGTCCGAACTGGCAAATGGTCCCTTGAACGTGTGTTGGCGTGGGTTTGGCAGCTTCGGCCATGCGGCGGATGACTGGGGACTGGGATGAGGATCTCGCGTCCTGGGCAATTGGTGCTGGTCGGTCCCAAAACTGCGCACACTAGAGATTTGCCTTGTGCCAGGATCTGCTGTGTCAGGCGGTCGGTGTCCCCCAACGTGTGGAGAGAGACACTACTGGCGTGCGACGTCCCGTGGCCCTCTTTCTCGCACGCGGTGATTGTGGGGATGCCCAAGCTCTGTGCATCCAAGCTGGTGAGAAGCACCCTGCCTCTACCCTAGTGGGCTTCGCTGTCGGTCGTGTTCCTTGGTGGGTCACAGTCTGAGACCCTGTTGTGGGCGAGGGAGTACTGTTGCACGGTGTAGCTGAACTTGTTTGAACGTTCAATTTCATTAGATCGCCCTTGAGGCTTCGATGGTCGGAGCTGTGCTGCCGGCAGATAGTGCCGAGGTCGGTGTAATGTGTTTGAGCCACTTCGTTCTATGCAGCGGTTGCTCTGTCGAAGCCACCACTGCTCTGGAGAGCGGCAACGCAAGCCTCCCGTTGGGACAAGTTGCTGTCCGGTAGGGTTGCCTTGTGGCGGCCGTTGTTCTGGTGGCCTGGGCTGCCGCGGTGCAATGGGCGCACGGCGGGGGCCATTCGGAGCCATGGCGCGCGCGCCGGAATGAAGGGATGTGACGCCAATCAGTCGCGGCCTGGAGGGGGCCGTGTCCAGTCTCGCGAGGGAAGTGTGGGTGGGGGGTACTTGGGAACAGAGAGAGAAAGAGAGGGAGGGAAACCCAAAAAGAAAGAGATAGAGAAACAGAGAGAGAGAGAGAGAGAAAGAGAAAAAACAAGAAAAAAAAACGGAGGGAAGCAAAAGAGAGGAGGGGGGAACGAGGGGGAGCCGAGGTGAAAGTGACGGGGGAGATCGGCCGAGGGGAAGGGCACCCGGCATCACAGGAATCCTCCGGCAACGCCTCGGCGATGGCCGCGCCTGGCCCGCACCTGTGCGGAGGTCCTCCATCGTCTCCTCCTCATCCTCCTCTTCCTTTTCTCGCGCCCTCACTGTTACGAACACTCTTCCTTGCCCTGAAGGGACGTCCTGGGATGGCGGCGCTGCGGACGCAGGTGCAGGGGCTCGAGTGGCTGGGAGTAACGCCGCTGCGGCCCGAGACGAAGGCGGAGTGCTGGCAGCTGCGGGAGGCAGCGGAGGTGTTGGGGCCGCCCCGTGCGCCTCCGCTGCCGCTCCCGCGTCGGCAGGCGCGAACGCTGCCGACATCCCCGTGGATGGCAACATCGACGTCCACATGCGTGACAGCGAGGGCCAGCCAGCACAGAGGCGGCGCCGCATGACGGGCGGACGCACCACCCGTTGGTGCGTCAGCGCCCAGGCGGCCCGTGGCAAGAAGGCTCACTGCACGCGCTGCATGGGAGGCTTCGAGGCGGGCGAGTGGCGCGTGGCGGGCGTCGTGACACCACCCGCGGGGTCCCAGGCGCACGCGGGCAGGAAGTGGTTCCACATGGCCTGCGTCGATGGCCCACTACCACCAGCTACGGCGATGGTGGGCTTTACTCAGCTCCCTGAGGGCGACAGGGATCGCCTCACGGCAGCCCTGGAAGCCCGAGGGGGCCCCATCCTGCCCCTGCTGGAGACAGTCGAAGGCCAGGCCCCCACCCCTCCCACCCAGGGAGATGGCGCGGCAGGGGGCACTGGGGCAGCCCCGAGGCCCCCTGCCGCCGCCGCGCCAGGAGCGTGCGGCCCAGGCGCGCGGGGGACTCCCCTGGGGGCGGCCGAGGCAGCGGTGCCGACCACGGCGGACATTCTACAACCACCACTCGACGTTCCTGCGGAAGCAGGCGAAGATGGCGGACTCGAGACAGGCGTCTACGACGACTACCTGGGCGACCAGGTGACGAGCGAGGACGCGTACCACGAGGTGGGCTTCGTCAACCTGGACTGGTGGGATGCCATCGGGTGGGACCGCATCCTGCTCCAAGGGGCGCCCACCACAGCCATGATCCCCGAGAGCATGGCGGCAGCCGTCAGCCACGTGAAGGCGCGGCTGTGCTTGGCAATTGAGCAAGCCCGCCAGAGCAACGACGCTCAGTCGTCGAGCACGTTGACGAGGCTGCGGAAGGTGTTCCTCTCGCTGGACGGACTACTGTTCAGCGAAAATGCGACCCCGACCCCGACGACACGGCGTGAGCGCCTCCAGGAACGCCTGCGGTGGATCCAAGACGGCCAGTGGGATGTCGCCTGGCTTTCCATGGAGGGCCAGGCGCGCACCACGGCCACCACGAAAGGCCGCGAGGATCACGTCGCATCCCGTGTACGCCGTGTCACCGAGCTCGCACGAGCGGGAGAGATGTCTCGGGCGGCGGCGGCAGTGTGGCCCCAGGGGGACATGGCGGACGCAGCGGCGGTGGTGAGGAAGTTCAGCACCACCCAGCAGCCCGAGGCGCCTCGTCCAAGCGAGTGGGGCCCTCCCCCTGGCGCTGGGGCCGCCCCGCGTGGGCCAGGGAGAGGGGCCGCAGGGGCGGGGGCCGACGTGGCGATGCCGCCAGCCGCAGCTCCCCGCGAGCTCGACGGCGCAGCAGAACCACACCGCCGCGTGGCCAACCACCTTAAACGTCAGTTTGGCCGCTTCCCCCGCCGTGGAGGGGCGGTGCCTGGAGGAGGACGCTACGAGCACTGGGCCCCTCTCAAGCACGACGAGGACGGAGCAGAGGCGGTGGCCAACACGCTGGCTCGACTGGCCATCGGGGACCTCCCCTCCGAGGCGCTGGCCGCCATGGCGGCGGCGCGCCTCACAGGCATCCCCAAGGCACCCCCTGGGGATGTGCGAGCCCTGGGCCGTGGAGACGTCACCCGCCGCATGGTGGGCCGCAGTGCCGCCAAAGTCCACCACAAGGACATGCGGGCGGCGGTGGGAGACCAGCAGTTCGGACTCGCCAAGGACGGATGTGGTGCACTCCACCGACGCCTATGCACAATGGCCAACTCGAGCCCAGGCAAGTGGGTGGTGGCGGTGGACCTCGGGGGTGCGTTCAGCAACGTCCCCCGCGACCTGGTGAAGGAGGCCGGGCGCGCCAAGGTGTCTGCGCTGGCCCCGTTGGCGGAAGCCTGGCTCCCCGCCCGAACACGCCACGCGGCGGGGGGCGGGTCGCAACCCGCCCAGCTGGTCGACCAGATCCGTGGCCTCGACCAGGGCTGCCCGATGAGCCCAGGCTCCTACGCGGTCGGCACCGCGGATGCCCTCAGCATCGGCCGCATGGCCGTGCGCGCGGTGGACATGGAAGGGGACTGCTTGGCCTTCCTGGACGACGCGTGCTTCGTGGGCACCGCAGCCGCCGTGCCCCGTGGCTTGGATGCGTGGCGTGCCCGCATCGAAGCCCACGGGATGAAGCTCAAGATGTCCAAGACCCAGATATGGTTCCCCGACGCCCAAGCTGTCTTGCCGCCCGAGTTTGCAGAGTACGCCCAGTACCGCGTCCAGAAGCTCAAGGCGGTGGGGCCCACCCTGGCCTACACGAACCACGACGTGGACACCGACTGGAGGGGCGTCCCACTCACGGACTTCGCCGCCCCAGAGGACCTCGATGAGGGAGGACACGGGCAGGCTGGCGGCGCCGGGGCCGCCCCGAGCGCCGCCACGCCACCCCCCTGCGGCGAAGCCTTCCTCCAGAAGCAGGACCGCTACTTCAAGGAGCTGCTGACGCTACGCAGGCATGGGCTCTCTGCATTCAACGCATTCCAGTTGATGCGGATCTGGTCGAGGGGCGCCTGCGTCCACATCCAGGGGGCGCCCCCGCTCACGGCGGCGTGGAGCCGCAGGGTAAATGACGGAGTGGTCGCCTTCGTCAACGCCCTGCTCGGGGTCACGGCGGCCCCCAGAGAGCAGATCTCCATGAAGGTCAGCGACGGAGGCCTGGGCTGTGGCAGCGCTGAGCAGCGCGGCCCAGCCGCCCTCCTGGCATCCCAGGAGCTCCGAGAATCGACAACAATCGGCCTCTTTCGGAAGTGGCCAGGCCTTGGCCGCGCCCTCTCAGCAGCAGACGAGGAGCAGGGGCGGCTGGCTGGCGGCCGTCGCCCTCAGAGCGACCGCTGGCAGGGCCTTCTGGAGGGGCGGAAGGGAAAGGACCAGAAGACGTACACCCAGCACGTGCGGGACCACGTCACCAAGACGTTCACGGCTGCGCTGCCAGTGACGGCAGCGGCGGCGGTGCACAGTGCCTCGGGCAGCTCAGCGGGCGCCTGGTTGGATGATTCCGAGGGGGTCTCGCCCCTCGCCGACCACGCGTTCTGCATTGCTGCCAAGAGGCGCATGCACCTGCCGCTGCTGCAGTCCGAGTGCACGCGCCTGAACCGACCTGCAGCGCCCACCCGCGCGATGGCGCAGCACGGCCCGACGCGCGGCCGCACGGTGGACGTTTGGGGCGTTCATGCGCTCAACTGTCCCAGGGGGGGCGGCCCGACGCGCCGCCACAATGCCATTCGAGACGCCGCGGCGCTCTGGCTACGCGGGGTGGGCCATCATGCCCTGCTGGAGCAGGTCATCCCAGAGTGGTACACGGAGGAGCAAGGCGCGGCCACATCGGACGTGGTCTACCATCGAGGCATCCATGATCGAGTGTGCCTCGACATCAGCTTAATGAACAAGATGACAGTGACTCAGACGGGGCGGCCGCACCAGGCAGCCCTGCAGCGCAGAGGAAGTGAAGCACCGGAGGTGCCCATTTTCGGGCCTGGTGCCCTTTGTCCTAGATGTCAACGGCCGCTGGGGCGCAGTGGCTGAGACGTGGCTGCGCCGCGCCGTAGGGGAATTGGCCGAAGCCGAACGGCCCGCGGCCCGTGCAGCCCTGCGATCGGCAGTAGCCAACGCCCTGCAGGGCCAAATTGCGGAGCAGGTCGCTCTGGCGACGGAGGGCGCAGCGAGACTGGATGCAGGGCCGCCCCGAGCGTCCAGTCTTGACTATATGTGGCCCCAACACACTTGCGTGTGAGTGCTGACCCTCCTCTCCCCTCTCCCTTTCCCGCAGCCCTGAGTGGTCATAAAAAAGTTGCCACGCCTGCAATGTGCAAGGTTTCGCTCAGTCTCCTTGTCGCGCACACAGCGCGCTACTGTAGTGTCATGTTTGATGTGCACGCCATGGTGTGTTGCCTCCTCGCTTTGTGCATGTTGCGGTCTCGGCATGCCACATCTTTGATGCTCGTTATATCTGGCATTGGGTGGTCCCGCAGCCCATCTGGGATGAGCCTTCATGCAACCAATAGCACCTGTCCCAGGCCGCTGGCTAAAGAGGCGTCAAAAGGCGTTGAAGATCGGGGCCTCCCCGCGGGTCCTGGGGCCGTCGGCGGCCCGCCGTCCGCTTTGTCGCCCGCCCGCGACGTGGTTTCCTCGCCCCCCGCCCCCCCTCTCCTGCCCGTCCAGGGCCCCGAACGGGGGTCAGGCCGTTTTCCGCCAGCATAATGAACGGGCCCCACGCACCTGGAACCGTTGGCTTCAGCCCATAGTCTTCCTGTGTCACCCTTGTCCCGCCCTGGCAGTTGGCCGCCCCATGTTGGTTCGGTGTACAGCTTCTCACCTTCCCCTCCCCCCCCCGCCAGCTGTTTGGCTCGTGAGCACCTGCCTCGCACATTCTCTCGAGCTGCACCTCCCGTGCCATCCACCCGACCAAGTGATGGCGCCCAAGTTCTCGAAGCCTGTGCCGATGCCGCGGCCCGCGCAGACGCACGCCGCGGGGGGGGGGCACCAACCTCCAAAGCAAGGCCGACGCAGCGCCCTGTTCAGCAGGTAAGCTTGTCGGAGAGCGCAGGCGAGGAGTACGACATGGCGTCCGAGGCGGCGACCTTTCGGACGGCACCGACGGTGCACGCGGGATCAGCGACCCCCGCTGAGGACGCCGATGGAGGTGGCGGTGCGGGGGCCGCCCCCAGTGCCGCCGCCTCCGATGGCGCCTCGACGATGCCTGCATCAGCGGTGGTGCCAGTGACGTCAGCCGCC